GTTCATCTGGGCCTACATTTGGGCTAAGCAAGAAAAACTTCGATTTTTTAAATATTGCACACCTTTGGTCGATTTTTACAGACCCCCGCTCTTAATACACGAAACAGATATAACGCGTACTTTGTTACGCATGATCAAAGCTCGTCTTCAGAATAGCTTTTGTTTGGCAAAGGACTGAGAAAGAAATTTTTATGAAAAAATACTTGTCAAGCGTACAGAGGCAAGGAAAAAATTTCTTAAAATAGAATGTCATACATTTCCGCCTGGTATTTGGAGTTTTCGAACCTTGTCGACATTAGGTTTCCTACTGTTGAACTCTTTAAAAGCACGCTTTAAATATTTTTTGCTTTCTCAAGTTTGTTACCAACCGCGCTCGTTATATCACTATAAATCCTTTACACCCCTCCCTCCCTAAGTCGAATCTTTTTTTACGAAAATGTAAATTAGTGCCCCTTCCTACATTACGAAATGTTTATCATAAACTGTTCATTTTCTTATTCTCGACATACCCTAAAACAAGACATTATCTAAACAAATTTCATAAAGACCAATAGCACACCTGATTACAAAAAACAAAAAAAATTCTCTGGCCAACTATTTTTTCAAGGTCCTAGAATTAAGGCTAGAGTGAGGCTACCGTACCGTGTAAGCGAATCCATGGCTGATCTAACTTGCTTCAAAGTGCTTTATTAAAGTCATCTATCAATAAATTTCTTTTGGTTGATTCTTTTGGTTTAACTCAAATGGTTTCTTCCCCTACACACAGGAATGGCCATTTCCTTGATCTTGTCTTAGTAAGAAACAGTGAGCCACAGGGATCTGTTGTCAACATACAAACCATCGATCCTGCTCTGTCCGATCACCTAGCAGTAAAATTCAAGGTCCCAATTACGAAACAACCATTCAAAAGAAAGAAGATACAGTATCGGAACCTTAAATCTTTGGACTCACAGACCTTAGCAACTAGTATTTCCGAATCATCTGTATGCACTGATATTTGTACCAACTTATCTGATATGGTCAATAGTTATTTTAATTTGCTTTCAGTCATCATCGATGAGCTCGCTCCCATCAAGACTCGCGTTGTTACAATTCGACCGAGAGCACCCTGGTACACCAGAGACATTGATGAAGCAAAGAAGTGTCGTCGGAGGTATGAACGTAAGTGGAGACGTACTAAAGATCCTACTGATAGAAACAACTACCTCGAGAAATGTAAGCATGTCAATCAATTGATTCATGAATCTAAGTCGAACTATTACTCTAGTGTAATATCAGACAACAAGGGTAATCAACGAATCCTGTTTCAGACGGTTGATAAGCTTCTGCACCGTAAGAATGATACAGTTCTTCCTACTTCTYCATCTGATAAACATCTTGCAGAATGTTTCGCTGATGATTTCATTGATAAGGTCACTACTATCCATACTAGCCTAGCAAGAAGTAATGTTGTTATTCCACATCCACCTGGTGGTGAAGAAAGTGAATTGTCTGAATTGTCTGAATTCCACTCAGTATCTGCCAAGTCTGTTGAAGCTATCATACGATCGTCACCATCTAAGTCTTGTTGTCTGGACCCTATACCAACATGGCTCTTGAAAGAACATCTGCAGTTACTACTCCCATCCATTGTCAATATCGTGAACATGTCTCTTAGCTCCACATTTCCATCATCGTTCAAGAAATCAATTATAGTACCTCTTCTAAAGAAACCGTCACTCGACGCGGAAGTCCTAAAGCATTACCGTCCTGTCTCCAGCCTGGCTTTCATTTCAAAGATCATTGAAAAGGCTGTTGTCCTTCAGTTGAATGAATACCTTACAACACATGATCTATTCGAAACCTATCAATCAGCTTACAAATGTTTGCATAGTACTGAGACTGCACTTTTAAAGGTCCAGAACGATATTCTTATTGCCTTGGACAACAAACAAGCTGTTGTCCTCCTGCTTCTTAATTTATCTTCCGCTTTTGATACTATCAGTCATGCAACGTTGCTCATGTTACCTTTAAAAGTCACGCTATGGAATCACTGGTAAGGCACTAAGATGGATGGAATCTTATTTAACAAATCGTTGTCAAGCAGTAATGATAAATAATCACATTTCGACCTCACGTGATGTATCCTATGGTGTCCCACAAGGCTCAGTGCTTGGACCGATTCTCTTCTCGTTATATATTGCTCCTATGACTGACATAATTCGACAACATGGCTTGCAGTACCATCTTTACGCGGATGATACTCAAATGTATCTGACTTAATATAATAAATGGTCAATAATTGGAGGTTTTCATGGATTTTATTCCGCTCTCAACACACAACAACGAAGAACGAGCACGAGGCGTCGTCACGTGATCCATCACTAGTTCCAGGTTACTACATTCCTCCCCCCTTACTTAACACAGTCAATGTCACTGAAAACGATCTGGAGGTCTACGCTCCCTGGTTGGGTAACGGCGTTCCACTACAGGATCGGGAGTACTTTCCACTTGAGCCGGGGTTGGTTCTGTAACTTCGGCAACTTTAGGTTCCTTGGGTTGCTCTTGGCGTGGCAGGAGTTGATCATGGTGTCTTCTAACAACAGTGCCATCTTCTAGTTCCACTTCACCAGATACTGGTCCTGTTTCTTTGATGATTGTGCCTGGTAGCCATTTGGGTGATCCCGAGTAGTTGCGTGCTAGCACTTTGTCATCTTCAGCTAGGGCTCTTGCTCGCGCATGCTTGTCATGTTGTTTGATCATCTCTTCCTGAGCCTTTTCCACTTTCTTATCGATGCTCGGTCGAAGTAAATCTAAATGCGATCTTACCCTTTTACCCCATCGTAACCACATGGGTGTCTCTCCGGTGGTGGACTGTGGTGTGTTGCGGTAGCTGAAAAGGAAACGCGACAGTTTTGTTTGCACAGTTCCATCGCGTTGTTCCTCATCCCTTGTTTGAATGTCTGCACTGCGCGTTCCACTAATCCATTAGTAGATGGGTGGTAAGGCGAAGACGTCACGTGCTTAATTCCGTTTTTCTCGGTGAAAACACGGAATTCTTGGCTAGTGAATACTGTGCCATTGTCGGATACGATCATCTCTGGTAGACCGTGCGTAGCAAAGGTGATTATYAGTTTCTCGACGGTTGATGCTGTGGTAGGTGAGTTGACGATATGGACATCCAACCACTTTGAGTGAGCATCGATGACTAACAGAAACATGCTTCCCAAAAATGGTCCGGCATGGAGGGGTGCTTTCTCTGGATTCTTCTGATGAGCTTGGCATGTTCCACATTCTTTCGCTGCCTTTTCCAAAGCATTATCAAGCTTAGGCCACCACACGTAATTCCTTGCGAGACTCTTCATCCTCGAGATTCCAAGGTGGTTCTCGTGTAATACTTTAAGTATTTCCTCTCTCCCCCGTGGTGGGACAATAACTCTAGATCCCCATAGGAGACATCCCGCATGKAGACTTAACTCMTCCTTTCTTGTRAAATAAGGTTTWAGATCGTCGTCATCAACATKTYCAGGCCATCCATATTGAACATACTTCAGTACTCGTGACAAGACTGGGTCACGAGCAGTCCATTGCTTAATCTTCGTTGCATTGACAGGACTGGTGTTAATGGTTTCCATGAGGTTGACGACCTCAGCAGGAATTGGTGTCGTCTCRGGCTCTACCGATAGTGGTAATCTACTAAGCGCGTCGGCATTACCATTTTCTTCTCCTCGTCGGTAGACCAGATCGTACTCATAAGCAGAGAGTGCGAGTGCCCATCTTTGCACTCTTCCAGAAGCCATCGGTGGTACCGCTTTATGTGAGCTTAACAAACCCAGTAGTGGTTTGTGGTCGGTGTAAATCTTGAAATGTCGGCCATACAAAAATTGGTGGAACTTTTTTACTGCAAATACAACGGCCAACGCCTCTTTGTCTACTTGGCCGTAGTTCTTCTCTGCTTTGGATAGCGTTCTTGAAGAATAGGCCACGGGTTTCTCAGAACCATCCTCCATAACATGCGCAAGGACGGCGCCAAGTCCGTAAGGCGAAGCGTCACAAGAAAGCACTAACTCTTTGGACGGGTCATAATGAACGAGTAAACGTGACGATTGTAACAGTTCCTTAGCGGTTACAAAAGCTTTCTGTTGTTTCTCTGCCCACTTCCATGCTTGGTTTTTACGTAGAAGCACGAGCAACGGTTCTAATGTGGATGCCAGGTTCGGAAGAAACTTTCCATAAAAGTTAATCATGCCCAGAAATGATTTGAGTTCTGAGACATTCTTGGGTGCAGGGGCGTCTTGGACCGCTTTTACTTTCGCTTCAACCGGGTGGAATCCATCGGCGTCTATTCGATGACCCAAGCACTCTAGTGACGGTTTCATAAAGTTACACTTCTTCTCTTTCAGCCGTAGACCTGCATCGGAAAGACGCTTCAAGGTTTCGTCGATATTCTTCAAGTGTTCGTCCTCAGTATACGTACGTCCAGTAATGAGAATATTATCTAGAAACACTGCTACAAATGGAATACCCTGTAAAAGAGTTTCCATAGTCCTCTGGAAAATCCCAGGTGCGGATGAGACTCCATAGGGTAGGCGGTTATATCTGTAGAGGCCTTTGTGTGTGTTGATCGTTACGTACTGCTTGGAACCTTCATCCAATAACATCTGCTCATAGGCGTGGCTAAGGTCCAACTCTGTGAAGGTCTTTCCTCCAGCAAGCTTGGTATAGAGATCATCAATCTTAGGAATCGGGTAGGCGTCTAATGTTGACACTCTATTGACAGTGAGTTTGTAGTCACCGCAAATTCTAATTGAGCCGTCAGCCTTCATCACTGGTACGATGGGCGTGGCCCAGTCGGAATACTGTACAGGCTCAATGGTGCCGGCTTGTACCAGTCTCTCAAGTTCTTGTTCAATCTTCTCACGAAGCGCATAAGGTACTGGTCTCGCTCTGTGAAACTCTGGTTTCGTATTGGCGTTTACATGGATGTTCGCTTTCTTCCCATTTAAGGTACCAAGTCCCTCTTCGAACAACTGTGGGTAGCGGTTGATAACGTCTTCAAGCTTTGTGTCCTGCGACAACTGTTTGACTTCTGGCCAATCGATCTGTATTTCCTGTAGCCAGTCTCGACCAAGGAGGGCTGGGCCTTTTCCTTCAACAACATACAGGGGTAATTTTTTACTTTGCTTCCCATGGGAGACCATAACTTCCACCTTCCCCTTGGGTTCCACTTTCTCCCCGGTGTAGGTCTGTAATATGACGTTTGTCTTTTTCAGGGCAGGTCGATCCTCCCCTCTCCACAATGATTCGTATATTTTCTGGCTAATGATAGTTAAAGAGGCTCCTGTGTCAATTTCCATTTGCAAGGACTTCCCATTCAATGCAAGATTTGCTTTATAGGGTGGARAGCGACTGTTCTTTATTGTATGAAGTGGGTATGGGTCTGTCGCCTCCCCCTCATCAGAGTTCCCTGTCTCATCAAGCATGTGGTGGGTGCCCTGTGGTCTTTGTGGCTTGTTGGATTTTTCTTTACTTCGACAAGCACGGGAAACGTGACCACTCTTCCCACAAGAATAACATTTGGCATTTTTGTGATAGCAAGCACTAGATTCGTGGGGCCCATTGCAATGGTAGCATTGCTTCTCACTGTTAGGCGCGGGCTTCCTGTGGTTTCTCGGTTTGGCGCCATCATGAAACTTGTTTACCTTTGCTTGATTCGCATTTTCTTCGCTTTTAGGTGCTTTATTTAAATCTACTGCATCCTTTTCTGCCGTTTCTATGGCCAATGCCAGTTCTAGGGCTCGCTTAAGGGTTAATTTGGGCTCAGCGAGAAGGCGTTTCTGAATTTTTTCATTGGAAGTACCACATACTAAACGATCACGCAACATTTCGTCTAATGTCGGGCCAAATTCACAATACTGCGAAAGGTTTCTTAGTTCAACTAAGAATGCTGAGATAGACTCACCGCTCTCCTGGTATCTCTTGTTAAACTTGAATCGCTGAACAATAACAGAAGGTTTGGGCTTGTAGTACTCCTGTACTAACTTCGTCAGGTCGTCGAAACTCTTGTTTTTCTGATGATTCGGGGCGACTAAATTACGGATGAGCTTATACGTTTTTGCTCCAACGGTTGCCAGAAAAATTGCTTTCTGTTTGTCTGCATGTGCGATTTCGTTGGCTTCAAAATAATGGTGTAGTCGTTCGACATAATTACTCCAATCTTCGGTCTCGTCATATTCCTCGATTTTTCCAAACGTTGTCATGGCTTTTGCACTCACAGGCTCAGGAGTTGACTTCTCTTGTCGTTTGGTCGATGATCTTCGCTTTTTTCTCGTCGCCAATATAATAAATGCTCAATAATTGGAGGTTTTCATGGATTTTATTCCGCTCTCAACATACAAAAGCGACGAACGAGCACGAGGCGTCGTCACGTGATCCATCACTAGTTCCAGGTTACTACAATAATGAAGAACCATATACTGTGAAATCAACTATTGAATCCTGTGTAGYAGATATTCGAGCATGGATGTTTTGAAACTACCTGAAACTAAATGATGATAAATCTGAGCTGTTAGTCTTTCAGTCCCAACATGCACCGCGTCCTGACATCACAGCCATCAGCATTGAAGAGGACTCAATTAACCCTGTGGAATCATGTCGTAATATTGGCGTGATTTATGATGAAACACTATCATTTGACAAGCACATTAGTTCTATTACCAAAACTGCATTCTGGCATCTTAGGAATATATGGCGTATCCGCCGCTATCTTGACACTGATTCACTGTTAACATTGGTTCATGCATTCATTACTAGTAAATTAGATTACTGTAACTCTCTTCTCATTGGCCTCCCAAAGTTCCTAGTAAAACGTCTTCAGAGTGTGCAAAATGCAGCGGCGCGATTAGTATCTGGCTCCAGGAAATATGAACACATCTCACCGGTTCTACGTCAACCACACTAGCTTCCTGTTGATAAACGCATTTCTTATAAAATTCTACTCATGGTTTTCAAGTGTCTTCACAACCTTGCCCCATCATATCTTGCGGACCTTATCACGAAGTACGTACCTACTAGGGCATTAAGATCTAGCTCTAAGAATTTGTTGGTTGTCCCTCTATCACGCACCAAAGGGTATGGCGATAGGGCATTCTCTGTATGTGGTCCTATGTTATGGAATGATCTGCCTGAATCATTGCGACATGAAACTAATTTGGAATGTTTTAAAAAGAACATAAAGACATATTTATTTTAAAACCTTTTAGTTTGAACTCTTAGTTTGTTTTATTTTTATTAGATGTATATAAGTCATATATATACTTTTATCATTTATAATGCATAAGAGAATATGAAGTAAGAGAGCATATCCCTGTGATCCATGAAAGTTTCTTGAAAATCTATTTTTAGCTCCGCGCGCAATCCTGAGCTATTTTAGCATGCGATTCCTGATTGGTCAGATTGTAGTGATGTCATGGGTACACAAGAGATCGGCAGTGACAAGCAAGCTTCATGCAGTTGACAAACCAAACTTAATTCAATTTGACGAGAAAATGTGTTTAGAGGAATTCCTTGAGAAATTCTGAAAGGTTTTTGAAGGAATCCATAAACAGCATATATAGAGGATATTACATGGGCGCGCGGAGATACGAAATTTATCTTCTCGTGTTGAAAATCTCTCACTGTGAGAGATTTTCAACACGAGAAGATAAATTTCGTATCTCTAAGCGGCCATGTAATATTCTGTTTATTATATAATTATCAATGAA